CACCCATTCCCGGACTCATTCCCGGACCACTCCCGTACCCATTCCCGGACCCATTCCCGCACCCATTCCCGGACTCATTCCCGGACCACTCCCGTACCCATTCCCGGACCCATTCCCGCACCCATTCCCGGACCCATTCCTGATCCAGACCCATTCCCAGACCCATTTCCGCACCCATTCCCTATCCAGACCCATTCCCGCACCCATTCCCGAACCACTCCCGCACCCATTCCCGCACCCATTCCCGAACCACTCCCGCACCCATTCCCGCACCCATTCCCAGACCCATTCCCGGACCCGTTCCCGATCCGGACCCATTCCCGCACCCATTCCCGGACTCATTCCCGGACCACTCCCGTAACCATTCCCGGACCCATTCCCGGACCCATTCCCGATCCAGACCCATTCCCGAACCATTCCCACACCCATTCCCGCCCCTCTTCCCGCTGTCTCTCCCCAACTCCTGTCTCCCCCCCCGCGCTCCGCAATGGTGCGGCCCGCCCCCCCCGCGCTCCGCCATGGTGCGCTCGGCGCTGGCCCCGCCCCGCGCACGGAGCCGCCATTGCGGGTTGTTTGTGCGGGCGCGCAGCGAGCGCGGGCGGGAGGCGGCGCCGCGCTCCGCCATGTCCACCCCGGCGCGCCGCCGCCTGATGCGCGACTTCAAGAGGTGAGCGGAGCCGGGGGCTCGCACCCAGCGCCGGCCTGTGTCTTTGTGCCGGGCACGGGGCTGGCACGGAGCCCCCCGGGGCAGGGGCGCGCCCCGCGGGGAGCGGCAATGCCGGGGGAGCGCGGGGTCCCGCCGGGCAGCGCCGGCTTTGTTCGAGCCGCCTCGTCCGGGCGCCGACGGCTGGGGGCGTGTGAGGATAAAAGTTGGAGCGGTGGCGGCGAACCGGGCCGCCTTGGGAGTGCCTGCGGGGTCACGGGGCGCCGGGATGGCGGGGGGATCGGGGGGGCCCGCTCCTCTCCTCCGCCCCACACCTCCGCCCCACACCTCCGCCATCCGCGGGCTCCAGCTTGGGAATGGCTCAGGTACAATTCCAGAAGTGTTCCGGGCTTGTCGGAGAGTCTCTCTGAAAATAAGTTTTTTGCGATAGGCAACTAAAAACGAGGAGCAAAGAATTATCGAACGCTCCGTTTGTGTGTAATAAGAACCAGAATGCCATTTAATGTTTTTATGCACATGATACTGTGTTTAAAGTTTGCAGTCATGAGGARTCTTTTGTGTAATATATGCCGACTGCTAAAGGAGCAGTTATTAGTTGCACTCTTTTAAATGTTAATGACTGAACCACTGACTCTGGAATAAATTATTTCCAGTCTGACATGTAAACACACTTAGAACAGAGTGTGGAAGAGGGTGGGGGCTTCCCTTGTAAGATTTACAGTAAGAATTCTCCGGGCTGGAGTCGCTCAGGAGTACTTGGAGGTGAGTCMGCTTTGATAGTGTCTCTTTTTTTAGCATAGCTATGTTACACCAGCCCCTGAAAACACATCAGTAAACACTTGACGTGTATTGTAATTGCTTTACGTGGCTGGACGTAAAGAAACGGCGACAAAAGSCTGATTTGTGACTCTAGAAGGAGTAGGAGGTTTTTGGGAAGTGGAGCCCTCCCCTGCTGTTGTGTGAGTGTTGGTGTTTGTTAAGTGGGTGTTGCTTGATTACCGTTCAAATCAAAACAGGATATTCAGACTTTTTATTGTATTTGGTTACACAGATGACATGAACCAGTGATTTTTTTCAGGTCGAATGACTAAGTAATTTTTCAAGATTGCAATCAGGTGTGGGTTTTATGCCTTTATATTCCTACAAGGACTGGTTTAATAATTCTGAAGTTAAGGCTTGAGAGAAGACTCTTAAAGCTGTGGGAAAGTATAACCAAGTAGGCAAAATAAATCAAATCTATTTGTCATATATATTGCAATTTTGCTATTCCAAAACTTACATAATTTTTTCATGTCAGGTTCCATTTTACCTTGCTCTTTCCTACTGCAAGTTATATATTTGTTTCTTATGTTACTTGTAGTTCATACTGAAACAGCAGACGGTGTGCTGTGAGCTCTGATTCACTTCATTAGACATAAACTGCTTTTGCATACTGTGATTGTCAGGAGCAGTGAAGAGAGAACAGTTTAGCAGATTTCTTACCTCCTCTAATTTGTTTGACTAAAGCAAAAGAAAAAGAAAGATTATTTATTTATTTTGCTGATAAAAAGGGAATGCAAATACCACATTCTCCCTGCTGTTTAGGACTTTCAGGATCAGTCCTATTTGCTGTTCTTGCCAGATCCTTTCTGTAGTTAGACCCTGTGACAAGTAGGGTGCACATGTGCTTTAAAGTTGATCTAAAAAGCCATCTCCCAGATGCATTTGTCAGGCTGATGCTCAGGCACGGCTGCTGGCCTGCAGCCTGCTTGTCACATAGGAAGAWGTCCTGGTGCTGCTTTCCCTGACCAAAATAGTAGGTGGTTTGTGCTGTTGATACTGAGCTGTCTGGACTGTGTGTGCTCGGAGAGCAGGGATGTAAACACAGAGTTCACAGGGGCTCTGAGCAGCTCCTGGGCTGCTCAGCATCCTTAGACAACACATGATGTTAGCCCAGGCTGAGGCAGTGCAAGTGCAGGAGGATTGCCTGGCTGTGCTGCTGTCAGCTCTCAATAAATCTGCATTTGCACGTGGCATTCAGGTCAAATTTGTCTCTTGGTCTACAGAGCTTTTTGTAGTGACTTGTTTATAAGTGTGCTRTGATATGATCAGACCTCATGGTAACACTCAGGGGTTGTTTGTGAGGCAAGGGCAGTCGTGGTATTTTCTTTATTGTTGCTTAACTCTGGAGACAGAGCAAGTGAGGGGAGTAGGAGCTGTCACTGAGGGGGTTTGATCAGGTGGATTGATTGGGGTCCACTGGTGTACATTCTTCATGGTCTTGTGATCCTTAACACGGCTCCAAGGATGGGTAGAGCAGGGCATTTGGATCCTGCCCTTTGGCTGCAGTACATATTTCTGGTCTGAGTTTGTGAGGCTTTCAGTAAGTAACATGCTTTTCCTTAGTCCAAGGATTAAGGAACTAAAAATAATTTAAAATGCTCCCGTGATTGCTTTAGAGATAAACACATTTGTTGGGCTGGTAAGAGGGAGGAGCAGCACACAGGTTTCCCCTTTGCTCCCTTTTGAAGCAATCAGCTTGTCAGTCAAAATAGGCTTATACCAAATTTAGTCACGTCTCACGCACGGGTCTGGGAGCACAGGAAAAGCTGCACTGACGGTCCCTTGCACTGAGTCCCAGCTCTGTGTGTGTCCCTGCCTGGATCTCAGCTCCTGCTCGTGGCTGCAGCTTGTTCCTTTCTTCATTGTGGCAGCCAGCASTAATTGCTCTCTCACAGTTCACTATGTAGCACCATAAATCCCAACTGTCCGGGGTGCTTTAAATTATTCTCACAGTTAATCCTTTGCTCCCTGAGCACTTAGGCAGACCTGTTGTGCCCTTGCAGTGTCTCTGTGTAAAACATGAGAAAATCTTCATAAGCRTTGCCTTGTAGGTCTTTCAGAGTGTTGATAATCTCTACGTGTAACACTTTGTGTATTCTCTGATCTGGAATGAGAAAATACTTACAAAATGTGGATATTACTGTTAAATTACACCTGCAGGTGGAAGTATTTCCTATATATGACTTGTCATTCTATGYTTCTGACTYTTAGATTGCAAGAGGACCCTCCTGTGGGTGTCAGTGGTGCACCATCTGAGAATAATATAATGCAATGGAATGCAGTTATATTTGGGTAAGAGGTTTTGGTCACTATGAAATTCAATATCAGAAGTCTAAATATAACAACCTGATGTTTGTTTTCACAGTTATTATCTTGTTTCATGTATGTCAAGTCAGCAAACTTAAGAAAATGGCCAAATGTTACAGTAAAAATCTCTTTTCAGGGATAACAGAGAATGGTTAGGAATTAAATTTTAAATTTGTTAAACTTTTTTGTTGAATAAACCTTGCATGTGGTTAAATAAATAGRTTGACTATGTTATGAAAAAGCAAAATTCCTCTTTAAAGTACATAAGTGCCACATGTTCTTGCCATTAAATCCAGATGTATTAGTGATTGGTTGAATCCCAGTAGGACAAGGTGCAGGATCTGTTTGGGAAGTTACATTACATATCCTATAGAAAAGGAGCTGGCCTAGTGTCCTTTCATAAAACTAAAGTGTGCTTGATAATAATCTGCTCATTTGTTCCARTCTAGTCACCTAATGGCCTAGGTATTGTTTGGGATGATGATAAAGYAGATACCCCAAAAAGCAGAGTRGCTGTGGGAAGTGTCTTAGATACAACAGAGCTCTCAGAGGTTGCCTATGGATGCTTCTCTAGGTTAAGTTATTTAAATTATTGCTTAGACCTATATCTTGGGGAAGATAAGGRARAAGATAGACATTTGCTGTGCCTGTGTGGAAGTAGRTAATGATCACTTCTAACTGGGGTTTCTTTTTAAAAACCTTTCAGGCCAGAAGGGACGCCTTTTGAAGATGGTAAGTTGCTAACTTTTGTATCCTTTGTCATTCTAATAAATATTGGCAGTACTGACATTTTGCAATGCTTCTGAAAAGTGATAGGTGCTATCTGTATATGATTTGAAACAAACTAAGCAARCAAATGAGGGAGTGATGCTATAAAAAWTTGTACCTTGATTTAAGCAGTGTCTTGTCACGCTGGCTGATGGTTGGTTAGAAAGAGATGAAGGAATGCTTCTGCCAAGGCTTTTTCATACATACACACATGAGGATGTTGGCCTGACACTGCCAGATGTGTTTGCACATCTCCATAGCTGAGCTCAACAAGAGCTTTTTTGCTTTCATCTTTTTGGAATGTTTGATTCATCGCTGTTTCCCTAATGAAGAACAGGTGAAAAACCTTGAATTGTTCTCAATATAGAACTCARTGAGGTTGAGGGAATCCCAGATTTGTACATAAACATGAAAGTTGGTGTGTAATGAACCTCCCTTAGGCATATGAGGAATAATGAGTTTAATAATTATAGTATTATTGCAGTAATTGGCAGCAGATGGGTTTTTCTCTTGTGTTGGGCTGGAGGAGTTACAGTAAATTATTCACTGATCCATAACAAAGGTTTTCAGTGAATCAGTTGTGAGCTCCAAAGACTGAGATTGCTGATTATGAAATTCCAGTGCTTCTTTGCTGGCACTGCAATGCCTTCTTAATGAAACGCCTTAAAGTCACCCAAGTCCATGGACCCAGCATATTGGGTCATGGAAAAGGGGAGGGCAGTGGGATAATGTTGGATCTGGCTGCCTTTGCCATGTATACAGTGAGTCTCCAAGCTTCTACCCAACCTCTCCTGCTGGGTTTATTACTAYTCTTAAGTGATAGTTCCATAGTTCCATTATCACTTGAAATACATGAAAAGCAACCAGGTTCCATGTTGTTTGTTTATATAATGGTGAGGAGAAATATTGATCATGGAGCACATAAATTAATTTGTTATATATGTTCTTTTGTTGTTAGTTTTCTGATTGTATTTATTTTTGTTTGGACAGGTACTTTTAAACTAGTTATAGAATTTTCCGAAGAATATCCAAATAAGCCTCCAACTGTTAGGTTTTTATCAAAAATGTTCCATCCAAATGGTGAGTAAACCATCTTTATTTAGCTGCAATACACATTAAATATTACAATGTGTTCAGGCATTGTCTGAAGCTCYAGAATGCTTAATCCCTCTTTATTGCTGTCTCCTAAGTAGATGTCTAGGACAGCAACTGCTTGATGAAAAATTAAGAGTTATGATGCTATTAAGAAGCAGCTATCTGCCTCTTTCTAATCAATATGTAGCCTCAGTAGCAAAGCTTGTGAGTATTTTCAGCAGTAGCTGCACTTAGATTGGTTTGAAGAGGCAGTTCTGGCTGCAGATTCCTGCCCCCTTCCATTTAACAGCAGCATTGTCTGTGCAGCCACGTCATGAGCTGCAGGGAAATGATGGAACCGAGTGTTATTTATTTCTGCCAGGTGAGGTTTCACCCAGGTCTGGTGCTCTGTGCCAACCCGGACGAGCACAGGGAAGAAAATGAGGATGTTCAGTCACAGAGGAGGCATCTGACCTGAACTCATGAGGGCAAGAGTATGAGCATGGTTCCTACCYCAGCACTGACTGATTTTGTGCAGGAAGCACAAACCCTGCCTGCTGTCCCACTGTGGCAATAATACATCAAGTGCTGTGCACGCCAGTTTGTCTCTGCCAGGGGGTGTGTAATTACTTGGGTTTTGCTGGCATGAGCAAGCTGGAGGACAAGGGTGTAGGAGTTAGAGCAGTGAGTCTTGGGTTCCCACAGGCTGCATTAAGACTGACAGATATTCAGACATAAGTATGGCACTTTTCCATATTATCTACTGTGTGCCTTGGTGCCTCTCATGGTGAGTGTAGRGTGTGTGAAAACAGGGCAGGGGCTGCCTCTGTTCAGTGTGTGATGGCTTTGAGTGGTTCCACTCCTGCAGTGAAGGCCCTKCTGCTCTCTGGGAGGCCCCTCCACTCTGACAGTGTGGGTCAGTCATTGGAGGAACAGGACACCAAATCTGCCTGTTCTGTGCTAAGGCCATAATCTTCAGACTGTCCTTCTTTCCCTCTTAGTGCTCTGTTAATTTCARTAATAAATCTTCAAAGTATGTGTCAAGCCACAGAAGATGGTGAGACATAACTGCTGTCCTTTTTGCTGAAGCATTAATCTAAGCACAGACTGAATTGGAACAATAACTCTGCCTTGAACAGTGCCATAAATCTGACAGTTTCTAAGTGATATTTGTGTTGTATTTACAGTGTATGCAGATGGCAGCATATGTTTAGATATTCTTCAGAATCGCTGGAGTCCAACATATGATGTTTCATCTATTTTAACTTCAATTCAGGTAACTTTGCATCTGTTTTAAAAAAGAATTATGTTATTGTTGGTCTCTGTTCCAGAATTCACAGCTCAGTGATGGGGATTGCCAGGTATCTGTATCAAGGGGAAATTCAAATCCTTAAGAGCTAAGCTGTKTCTTTTAGATAAAATAAAAGCAAACATGCTACATAATTACTAATTCTGACCTACAAAACTGCCATTACATATTTTTGCACAGGAGAGCAGTTACTGGTTTGTGTTCATTTTTAACTGTTTTTACTTAAGATAGGATATGAGATGCAGAAATTTGCCTAGWGTTTGAAACATGAAGCTTTGCCCTGTGAAGCCCTCAAAGGGGCARTACTGCTGAAATGCACTACTTGGAATAAGTAAAAATGGCCTGGCCCAGTGGAAATGCACAATTCCTTTGCCTYCTGTGTGATTGCTTTTATTTTTCACTAGTGAAGTTTTGTAGGAGGCATCTTAAGCCCCTCTTAGTCCTGAATGACAGTAGTAATGTAATTACCAAATAGTCAATTAGCTCCATAGTGCTGACTGGCACAAACTGTCTCTGATTTGTAAAGCTACAAGTGTGTGCAGCCCTGATGCTTAGGCAGGGTGTAATTTGAGGTTCAGTAATATAATTAGGAATGCCTAACCATGAGTTTAGCTGGGTTTTTTTCATCTGGGCCAYTCTGAGTCATGTCTGCCTCTGAAACACATTTGACTTGAAAGTAAGTTGATTTTTTCCTCATTTAAATGTGTTGGTTTGTCTYACACTGTTTTCCCCTTTTTCCAGTCTCTGCTTGATGAACCCAATCCAAACAGTCCAGCAAACAGTCAGGCAGCACAACTTTACCAGGAGAACAAACGTGAATATGAGAAAAGAGTTTCAGCTATTGTCGAACAAAGTTGGAATGATTCGTAACAGCTGCTGTGTTACTCTCCATCCTCATAATCATAATGTACAATTTAACTCTCAATAGAAAGGCTACCAGAAATTTCAAGTGCCACAGTTCTATGAATTTGCATAAAAACTCATTTGCAAACAAAATTAAGCCCTCCAGTTTAGGGAAAGCTAAAAGCTTGTGTATCTCAATTAACGTCCTTTTTATTGCATGGTATGAACTAAGTTATTGCTGCATAAATTTGTAATATATCCTGTTTGTATTTTTTTTCCACGTGTATAATGTTGGTGTGGAGTTTTCATGACAGAATATACACATTTTGTAAATCTGTACTTTTTCAAATATTGAATGCCTTATTTTTGAATTCTTTAGATTTTTAAATTGGAGAAAAGCACTTAACAAAGTTTTTATATATGAATATTTCATGTAAAACTGTTAAATACATAACCTTAGTGCAAGACTTCTGCTCTCACTCTATCTTTTTTCAAGGGCTCATTTTTTTGTCCATGCTGATGATACCCTGCACTTTACAAACACAAAAGTTAATCCATGATGCAACTGTCTTCACGGGATGTCTTTGCTTCTGCACCAGAGCTTGACTTGATTCTGTGTGTCCTCAGTTGTATGAGGAAGAGAAGTTTTGGTACCTGCCAATTACAAATGGGGAACAGATGTAACTATTTTGCTGAAAGTCCCACCTGAAACCWGCAGCAGAGTTGCAAACACGACCTGGATGATCAGGCTTGATGATAATGTATTCTAGTAAGTTTTATTTTTCAAGGAGATTGTATTTTACCAACTTGGAAAACGTTGTCATCTAAATCTGTCCTGTATTCACCTAGTGATACTGTAATATAGTTTTGAATAACTTCTAATCRTTAAAGAGGTTTCCCGTTAGTTTCCCTTGGGGGTAGGGAAAAAAATTTAATCACCAACAGAAGAAAACATGTCTGCAGATTCAATGGAGTTATTCTTTAAAGCTTGACTGTGTACCATGTGGTCAGGTCTCTTGTCTGTGTCACAGAGGCTCCAYATATTCTTTAATTGCCAGTTTAAAGAACTTCAGCTTTGTTTTTGTAAGTGTTGATATGGTGGTAATTTCTTACTATATTCTGTAAACCAGGCTAGACAACTACAGTAAAGAATTAAGCCTTTATTTTTTTTCTTCCAGCATTAAAATTGTAACACCTTTGTCATAATTCCAGTCAGCATTATGTATGTATTAAACCCCCCCAAATTCCATACCAAAATACAGTTCAGTGGTGCCTGAAGAACAGGTGCCTGAAGAAGTGGAGGTTGATTTCACCTAGAAGAGAAAATGTTGTTTATTTGCAACAGTCATGACCAAAAAGTTACTCTCAATGCACTGAAATGGGAATGCCAATTTGCACCTCACACCTGCTTATAAATGTCTAATTTCTAGGAGCTACACTCAAGTTCAGAAATGGCACTCACAGTACTGTCAAACCAGACTGTTAGCTTGTGGAGTAAAGCTGCCTCTGCCTTGGATAAGAGTTAGTGTTCAAGGGCTCAAAAAAAACATCAGTGCTATGTAATAACTATGCTCTTCATTAAGTCAGTTTGATTTCCTTGAATTGCAGAACTTGTGTTTAAGAATTTTTCAATCTACATCTGCTTATTAATGGAAACTCCATAGGATCCATTTTTCCTTTTGGCTGTGGTGAAGTTACAGTAACACTGGCAAAGTGGTGCTATGTGACATAAAACAGGATCAAGGCAAAGACTTTTTGTTCATAAATATAATACAGAAAAGCTTCCTGGTTCCAAGAATTAATCTAAACTTTGAAGATTTTTTTTWAAATTTGTCTCCTGTTTCAGTATTTTTGTTCCTTTGCCATGTGCCTGGGCTGAGCTTTGCTGTTCACTGGTGTTCACATTAATTTGATTATTCAAAGCTGGATGTGAGTGTCAGCATGGTGAGAATCCAGGCTGGATGATGACCTGTKGGGAGATCCTGGTACCGAGGAGTTGTTTTTGGAGGTGGGATCCTGGAGCAGCTGCGGGCTGCACAGTGCATCCCCTGGAGCTGAGGCTAAAGGGTGGCTTCTGTGAGCCCTCCACCAATACACATGAAAAATAACCAGAGCATAGGTTGAAATCTGCTAACACTTGCTAGAGAAGCAGTGCATTACCAGGCAGAATGAAGGGACCTAGGGGTGATGGTGTAAAGGACACAGTGGGCAGAGTGTCCTGACCCACGTGAGTGTCAGTGCTCGCTGGTGCTGCTCAGGGATGTGTATTCTTGGAGCCTTCATGTGCCTGTGTTCAGCATCTCCCCTGGAGTTACAGGTACTGACTGTTCTGATTTGYCTGACTATGGGTTGCTGAGTGCTCCCTGCTTCCACCACCCTCCCTTTGGGACCACCTTGTCCCTRGGCTGAGCCATGTGGAGTGCTCAGGGCTGTGCATGGGTGCTGAAACTACAGGGCWGGAGTGTGGGTAATGGACAGATAAAAACCCTTTCCCTCTTCATGCTGCGAAGAACAAGGATCTGATGACAAGGACAAAAAGGTTCAAGTGCACTGCTTCACAAGAGCACTCACTAGTCAACAAACTATGGCACAGTTACCTTCTTGAATAGTGTACTGGGGTGCTTGATTTTTGATTTATTAGGCGATGTAATGCRCTAAGCTTGCTGGGACAGTGGGATTAATTAAGGAAGGAGTGATGGGTTCACAGTTCTGGGTTTATAGCTTCTCACAGGGCTTTAGTTCATTGATATTAAGCAGTTCATAATCACTTCACTGGATTCCATATGAAGACTGAAAATCACAGTGGAGACAAAATCTTTAAGTTATTCACCCGAGTGTTTGTCCTATATATGCATGTTATTCACTGGATTTTACAGGTGGACAGACAGGCATCCAGCTCTGCAGTGCTCTTGTGTCAGTCAGGAAACCATCAGTGGGGCTGGGGGTGTGAACCATTCCTGGGCATTCCCCAGTCTGAGTTTCAGGTATGAGAACACCTTTGCCTTCAGGTTTATCACACTAACATTATTCATAAGACGCATCAAACGCTGCGCTGCCTCTGCTGCTTTCTTCAGATCTCAGTTCCCTGAAGATGTCTCATCCAAATACAGTCCCAAGCCATAACTACGGGACTTGGATCTTCACAAATGTGATTAACTTCACTAGTGTGAGTTGTCCCATTGGGATTCTTCACCATAGTGCAGATAAATGTGTGTAATTGCAGAATCGAGGCCTTAGGCTGTGAGAAGTGAAGAAATCACAGCTTGAGGTACTGTATCTGCAGCTTCTTTGTGGGAGGTTTTGTAYTAATAGTCAATTAATTCAATGTGTCAAACAAATAAAGCTTTAAATATTTAGAGATTAGGAGGTGCCTAATAAAAAATTTACAGGAAAAAAAGAAGATTCCCTCATCACTACAGYGGCATTGAAGTGTTCAAAATAAAATAGGTAGGATAATGTAGACAGTTWAATATTTTGCATTTAATATGTCAAGGGGCTGTGAGAATAGCTTTAGATGTGCATAAAAATGCACCAGGAGAGGAAGAGCCTTCTCATCCGGCCAGACTTCCCAACCTGTGTTTTGATTTGAGCTTTTTACTGTTTGTGGAAGCTGTCCCAGGCAAATACTGTGCCTTATTTGTTTAGAGTTGTTTTCTGGAAGAGGAAAGGTGTAATCAGCAGGCAATCTGCTGTAATGTGTGAGTTGGCAAGGCGGGCTCTCCACTCCTGCCTTGGATGGGGCTCCGTGGAGAGTGGCTTGGTTGGACTGTGGGTGGGAAACAGTGACCAGAGACTCTGGGTGAGTGGGCAGCATTTGTGTGTGAGCAGTGCCAGCTCCTGCACTCTGTTTAATTTGTTGTTTAAGTGTCAAAACAATTATCTGACCTCCTCTCCCTGATTYTATTAATTTTTCTAATGGAAGAGCTTCAGCAGAGTACAGAGAGTGTGTGTCCTGCATCGTGCTGACAATGGATCACAGACCCTCCTCAGCACCCCTGAGTTCCTTAGAAGTGTAAATTGCTATAAACCCTTGGATCCAGCCTTGGGCCGCATGAACAACCTGTAGCCAGACCAGTGATTGATTTAGGAGGCATTCTTTTTATTTCATGAAAGTTKTTGGGGTAAAACCAGTGCAAAACTAGGAGACCAGCAAAGAATTACGTGTTATTGCAGGCAAGTGGATGCTTTTGTTGAACATGAATCTCTRGAAATCTCTTCATGATGGTGAAAGAAGTAAAGGGGGAAAGGAGCTAAATCTAACAAAAATTGAATATGTAGAATCAATGAACAAAACCTATTAACAGGATGCTGCTTTGCTTTTGCTGTTCATTCAAGGGATATGAGTCTTAGAAAATAATATATATTGGATTATGTATGTGCATGTACACAGGAGAGGGCTTTTCGAGCTATTATAGAAACTTTAGTTAGATAGTAGTGTTTGAAAATAAATGGGCTTCAGGTTTTGAGGAGTTGTTTTGCTTGGCATTGTCATTGCACCTTGAGTTCATCTCAGCCCAACCACCATGAGCAAAGAGAGAACAAAAAAMAGGCAGAACTTTTTCAGCTCTCTGATAATGACTGTAATTAGAATCCCAAGCTATGGAAATTGCGATATTCCCTGAAGGTTTCTTGTCACTATCCCCTGTTTCTGCACTGAAAATAAAGATTTTTAAGACAGGGTATCTTCTGTATTTGGTGCTGTCRCACTAATGGTAATGTTCCAGCCTCCGTGACTGCGTGAATCCATTATAATGCTTGTGTCTGCTGTGGTCTGTGTGAAAGCTGTATCCTGCCAGAAAGCAAACATGCTCTTCTCAAACAGGGGATGTTGTTCAGCATCCAGAATGAAGCCTTTTTCGTGATGTGGTCAAAGCACGTAGCGTGGGATTTTCTGAGCTAGTGCAAATGTTACTAGWAGGAAGTTTGTTTTAAAATCCCAGTATGTAAATGTTTCAATTGGGAGTTCAGGGAGGTCGTARCATAAATTATTTTTGCCCTTAAACAAGTGCCAGAGCTGGGTCAAACTACTGTAGGAAGGCAGAGTTATGGTTTGATGGCACTGCCAACAGAGACTTGGCTGTGGAGGATGTTAGTGGTGAAGGTGGGCCGATTTCCYTGCCCAAGCCTCCACCTGTAGCACAGGATATTCAGCCCTCAGCCCCCAGAACTGAAAAGATCTTGTGTTTTTGCCTTGTTTTTCAGTTTGGGTCATTAACCGCCGTGTCTGATGCATTTCTAAGCTGAATAATTTTGACAGCTGCCAATTTGGTACACATACCATGGGCTGAGCTGGGATCCACCAACTGGAGGGAATTCTGGGCAAAGGCTCTACCTGGCACAGCAACAGTTTCAGGCATAAAGGGGGCCCTAAATCCATATTCATCAGGGAGAAATTTGGCCAGAGAAAGGTCACCCCAAGCATCTGAGACCCAAAGAGGTTTTTATCCTGAATAAACCTCTGCATACAAAAATCGGTAGACACATTCACATTGTTTTCAAAGCCATGTTGGACTTTGAACTGCTCAGATTGTTAATTACACTGTTCATTATCATCACTATTTGTTTATCATTTATATTTCTGTTCATTCTGAAATTAATTTGGGTATGATTAGAAGATTATGGGTTCAGGGCTTTGTTTAGATTTCTGCCAGACTAATGAAATGTCCGGTAAATGTAAATATTGTTATTTTATTACTTTATGTTAGTGCTGTCATGATGAGAATGGAAGGATTTCATTCTGAAATATGATGCTCCACACAGGCTGAGGCAAATTGTCTTCAATGACTGACCAAACTGGGAAGAAGGCAGAAATGCCATCTCCTCTGAATTAATTATGAACCACACAGCTCTTGCTATTATCTGTTTACACATTATTGGCCTTGTGATGTGCTGGTGAGAGATTTCTTTCACTGTCTGGTCCAAACGTACGTTAAGTCCAATTTCATTAAGAAGGCTGCTCGCCTGCCTTGTTGAAAGGGTCATTGTGTTAGTTATTACAGTGTTTTCTTTGTGCTCGCTTCCCCCAAATTCCAGTAACTATTTTGTAGAAAAGTTTGAAAGTGAACTTTTGATGCCTGTGAAAGCTGCTTCATTGACTTTATTGACTCCGGAGCCTGAAGTTCTTTATCCACAGAGATCTTTAAAAGGACACTAAAAAGTTTCA